CTATAGGCACTGGTTCAAAGCCCAGCTGTCCTGTTTCCAATCCAGCTCCCTGCTAACGTGCCTGGCAAAGCAGCAGAGAATGGCCCAAGTCCTTGCACCCCTGCACCCATGTAGGAGCCCTGGAAAAATCTCCAGGCCCTAGGCTTCAGCGTGGGACAGCCCAAGCGTTTGTGGTCACTTGTGACGTGAACCAGTGGATGGAAGATCTCTCTTCCTTTAACTCTGCCTTTCAAATAAATTTAAGAAAAAAATTTGGGGCCCAGCGGCGTGGCCTAGCGGCTAAAGTCCTCACCTTGAACGCGCCAGGATTCCATCTGGGTGCTGATTCTAATCCAGGCAGCTCCACTTCCCATCCAGCTCCCTGCTTTGTCCCAAAGCTTTGGGACCCTGCACCCGTGTGGGAGACTTGGAAGAAGTTCCTGGTTCCTGGCTTCGGATCGGCACAGTACCGGCCATTGCAGTCACTTGGGGAGTGAATCATCGGACAAAAGATCTTCCTCTCTGTACAACTGACTTTGTTACTGTGTAATAAAAATAAATCCTTAAAAAAAATAAATAATACTTATGGTTCACAACCCCAAAATAAACTTGACAAACTTTTGTCTTTTCTTCTAAAGACGTATTTATTTGAAAGGCACAATGGCAGAGAGCGACAGACAGATCTCCCAACTTCTGGTTCACTCCCTAAATGGCCTCAACAGCCAGGTCTGGGTCACCACAGCCAGGAGCCAGGAAACCCATCCGGGTCATCCGTATAGGTAGCAGGGCCCACTTTCTTGGCTCATCCTCTGTGACCTCTCAGCTGCAACGGCAGGGAACTAACTGGATGGGAGACAGAATGGCCAAGACTTGATCCAGAACGCTGGTACTGCAAATGGTGGCTTAACTCACCATGCTACAGCAGCAGCCCCAAACCCTCCACCTTCTAAAGTCCTTATATCCAACTGAGGTCTGGGATGATTCTTAAACACATGTAGGATGGGCAGCAGCAGGTGGGCGTGAGAGGGCTGTTGGGCCCACGAACCTTTCCAAAACCTCCTATTGTAGACTGCCAGACGGCTCTCCACATGCCTACCCCGTAAGGCAGGGCAGTGGGAGCAAGGCTGGTGCGCAGGCAGCCACTCTGGGCTTGCTTGCCTTCTCAACTCCAGCTCCGAATTGAGAAGAGCTCCTCAGCCAGAGCGCTTCTGCAGCTCATGGCCCAAAGGACACATACGGACGCTCACCTCCTAGCCGCGGTGGTGACAGGCCCCGTCCCAGCTTCCTCCAAAGCTCCAACCGCTGCCCTCGATCACTTTGCTCTCCGCCCCAGTGACCGCTTCCAGTTCCTCTTCCCTAAGCCTCAGGAAGTGTCACGCTAACCCACACCAGCGACCAGGGTCAGGAAACACTGGCCCAGTATCCACTGGCCCAGTATCCACTCCTGCTACTGGCTACTTAGAAAAGGGCTGGGCTCTGGCCCCCACCCCCTTCACAGCAGGGAAGGTGGCCGCTCTTGGTCTTAAGAGCGCCCGCATTAAGCAGCAGTACAGCACAGGTACCCCCCGTACTGTCATTCTCCAACTGGAATCCTAGCGATTCCCAGAGCGTCCCAGAATTGGAACCGTAGGTCCCTCCCTGAGCACAGTGGTTTGAAACATCTTTAGCTCAGGTCTAAAAGCATTAATGATTAGTTGTGATTTTGCTGCCTGAAGCAACCGAGGCACTTGCACTGGGAATTCCCAGGGCCCTCAGACCTTATTCCTCAACTCCAGGAAACTCACCAACACATAAACAAAGGAAGTACTTTTGCCCTCCGTCTCACCGGGGCCACTCCCAGGGGCTTGCTCTAGGTTCACTTTGGAAGATGGGGCTGCTGCTGCTACGGGTTTATCCCTACACTTTATCCCAGGCTCCCTAAAAGCAACTCAAAGATTTAAGCAACCGCCACAAGAGGGCTCCCTTTTACTTCTCCACATCTTAATTGGAATATGGAAGGAATGTTCGCCTCTTCCCAGGTGTTCAAGGACCCAAAGACCTACTGGTTAGCTCTCAATTATAATGATTATCATGATCGTGTTTTTAAAACTGTTTTGTTACTGGTGCCATAGCCTAGTGGCTAAAGTCCTCGCCTTGCATATGGGCAATGGTTCGTGTCCTGGCTGCTCTGCTTCCCATCCAGCTCCCTGTTTATGGCCTGGGAAAGCAGTGGAGGACGGCCCAAAGCCTTAGAACCCTACACCCATGTGGGAGACCAGGAAGAGATTCCTGGCTCCTGGCTTTGGATCAATTCGGCTGTGGCTATTGTGGCCACTTGGGGAGTGAACCAGCGAATGGAAGATCTGTCTGTTCTCTCTGTAAATCTGCCTTTCCAATAAAAATAAATAAATCTTTTTTTAAAAAAATTTATTTTGTTACACATTTTTCAGAGGTAGAAGAGCTCCCATATGCTAGCCTGTTCCCCAGAGGAACCAGCAGAGGAAAGATGCCTGTGTCTCCCTCCTATGCTCTGCCTTTCCAGTAGGTAATACATCTGAAAGAAAAGGGGGAGGGCAGGGGAGAGAAAGAAAAGGGGGAAAAAAGAGTAGAAAAGAAAAAGCAAGCAGAAGAGGGGAGGGGTGAGGAGAGGACAGAAGGAGGAAAAGGAAGGAGAGAAGGAAGGGAAAGGAAGCAGAAAAAAGCCAAGACCAAGAAGGACCATGGAAGAAAATTAAGGATGTTGTCTTTGCTAACAGCAAGAGTTGGGTCTGGGCCAGGCCAAAGCCAGGAGGCTGGGAACGCCATCTGGATCTCCCCTTGCGTGTAGCAGAGTCTCAAACTCTTGGGCCGTCATCCACTGCCTCCCGGGTGTGCGTCAGCAGGCAGCAAGAGCCGGGGCCGAGGAAGGGACTGCAGTATTCCAACACCAGACACCGGTATCCTAAACAGCATTATCATAGATTGTCTACGAATTACTTTGGTTCTAGAAGGTTTCTATCATTATTTCTTTCTAAGATCTATTTATTTTATTACAAAGTCAGATATACAGAGAGGAGGAGAGACAGCGAGGAATATCTTCCGTCCAATGATTCACTCTCCAAGTGACCACAATGTCCAGTGTTGTGCTGATCCGAAGCCAGGAACCAGGAACCTCCTCCAGGTCTCCCACATGGGTGCAGGGTCCCAAGACTTTGGGCCATCCTTGACTGCTTTCCCAGGCCACAAGAAGGGAGCTGGATGGGATGTGGAGCTGCTGAGATTAGAACTGGCGTCCATATGGGATCCTGGCACGTTCAAGGCGAGGACTTTAGCTGCTAGGCTATGGTGCCGGGCCCAGGTTTCTATCTTTAAAAACTAATTTATTTTCATTTGTTTGAGAAGCAGAAAGACAGAACAAATGAATATAGAGCTCCCACCTTCTCTGGGTTGACGTCCACAATGCCCAACAGCCACACCTGGATCAGGTCTAAGCAAAGAGCTGGGAATTCAAGCCAGGTCACCCACACAGCTTAGCAGCGACCCAAGTACCCAAGCTACTGCCTCCATGCCTCTCAGGGTATGCATTAGCAGGAAGCTGAAATTACAAGTGGGGATGAGACTTGAACCCAAGTGGGGTCTTAACCACGGTGCCAAACATCTATTTTCTATACAAAACAAAGCACTTAGCAGCAGCTGTCACTAAGCAGGACTTTGGAGAAACCCAGGAGGAAAGCGCCATCTGTTCAGGTGAGTGGGCAATACTAGGAGCTACAGACATGACAAGGAGATTTCTGCCTGGGGTAGTTGAGCATAACATATCCGCAGAAGCTCCCAAGGCTTTGGGCCGTCCTCCACTGCTTTCCCAGGCCACTAGCAGGGAGCTGGATGGGAAGTGGAGCAGACTGGACACGAACTGGCAGCCATTTGAGATGCTAGCATGTGCAAGGCCAGGACTTAGCTATTGAGCCATTGCACTGGGCCGTTCTGTGTTCTTCCTTATTAAAAGAGGATGATAGCTTATTAATAAAAGGAGAGGTAAAGAAAGAAAATTGGCAAAGGCTCAGCACTGAATAAAAATCACACATTTTGCCCTGGTGCATGGGGGCTCTCCGATGTATATGGCTAAATCCTACCTCCACTCTACAAAAGCAGGTTGGGAAGACCTCTGTCCTCAGAGCTTAAGAAAGTAAGGGGGGAGGGGCGATGTGCAGTGACTCAACAGGCTGACCCCTGGTCTTGCAGCTCTGGCATGCCATATGGATGGCTGCTGCACTTCTAATCCAGCTCCCTATTTGTGGCCTGGGAAAGCAGGAGCAAATAGCCCAAGTCCTTAGGACCCCACACCATGTAAGAAACCCAGAAGAGGCTCCTGGCTTTGGATCAGCTCAGTTCTGGTCACTGCAGCCTTATGGGGAGTGAACGAGCGGATGGAAGACCTATATCTCCTTGCTGTAAATCTGTCTTTCAAATAAAATAAAATAAAATAAAAAACATTTAAAAAGAAACAGTGGAGAAGGGGTGCCCAGCTTAACCAGGCAGCGCCAACTCTTTCTCTGCCTGGCACAGGGGAGGAGGCAGAGCAGGGTGGGAGTGAGACGGGATCATGTGACCCAAGACGTCTGTGCGATCTCTGGGTGAGGCCTGGCATGTCAACAACAAAAAGTCACACGCTGGAGACAGGTGGCCCAGGGCCATCAGGCAGCAGCATCGATCTCTCTTCACTGCCCATTTTGCCTTCGTGCTCACTCACGTCAGAACCCAGAGTTAGAGCAGCGATGGGACCCACACTACAGGTAAGGGACTGTGTTCAAAGTGGAAAGGCTAAACCCTTCAGAAGAAGCAAAGTCAAGTCACAGGCCATCCTCCTCCAGCATCCAGTTCACTCGCGTTCCCGCTGGCGTATGACGAGAAGAGCTAAGAAGGGTTCCCCTATACTCTCCTTCCCCACCGAGCAAGCACGCCTGTCACCCCTCTGCTGAGACCAGGAGACTCTGCAGAGAGGGCCCACAGATGAACAGCCCTCACCAGCCCACAGCTGCTGCCCACCAAGGAGGAAGGTCTGGTCCAAACGGAATAAAACAAGTTTAATTTCCAACCAGGGTCACAGTCATAGCATCATCCCATGTTTTGAGCAAGGATAGATGGGTGAGTAATTCAACATATACAGTCTACATTCCAGAGGAAGAAGAAAGAGAAAAAAACCAGTTCAGAACTGCAGTTACCACTGTAACACCACAAACTTGGTCAAGTGAGTGGGAAGGGGGGGTCCCCGAGGAAGAAGAAAGCCGGAATGAGGGAAAGCATGAGACTGAATCCAGCAGCACAGCGCGAGAGGGAGCGGGCAGAAATGAACGAAACGCAATCCCAGAAAGAGCTGTCTAGTGAAATGGCCACCCTGCCCAGGGCCAGGCAGCCAGGGGACACTACCACAAAGCCACTACTGCCTCCTGCTGGGAAGTAGCAAACTCCAAGGCAGCTTCCTAACGCCCCTGCCCTACACTGGTCCCTGGCACCCCCACACACACCTGCCCTACACTGGTCCCTGGCACCCCCCCACACACCTGCCCTACACTGGTCCCTGGGCTCCCCACACAACAAAGGTGGGAGAGGTTTAAAACGAGGAAAACCTACTTGGGATTGGCATCTAATTAGAGAGGGACAGAGAGAGGGCGAGGGGTTGAGGTCCTCACCAACTATGAAAACACGGAGAGGGTAATCATAAATATAAATAGGAGAAGGAAAAAAAAAAAGACAAAGAGGCAACAGCAGCGAATGCACTGACAAGGCAAAGAAAGGCTCTCAGAGGAGAGGCACAGGGGCGGGAGAGAAAAAAAAAACCCGAGGAAACAGCAATGAAAAAGCACAGTGCCAAGCATCTGTGTGGTCAGAGGAGTGAATGCATTCTGGAAATAAACCCCCGTGTCCCACACACCACACCACACACACACACACACGCCTAGACAAGATAACTGCACAGACCTGCTGCATCTTGGGTAACACTGCAGAGTCACTGGCACTGAGGGAGGCACTCCCGGACACTCTCCCACAGTTTAGTCTGGGCTGAGGTTGTGGGTACTGATTTGCTTGCTGTAGAAAAGGTGGCAGGAAGCCGGTCCCCAAAGTCGGATGTGAGACAAGTCCTTCGGAGAAGGAGTCCCTTTGAAGGGTGGCGGGGCTCTGGCCGCCAACCTTAGCAAAAAGGTTATGGGCAGCTGTTTTAGAGCTCAGGGCGCAGCCAGCACACACAGGAGCCCACACAGCAGCCACAGTGTCGTAGAAATGGCCCAGGAGTCAGGCCCTCCAGGAAGGGCGCCCCCTGTGGACAGAGATGTGGTAGCAGCAGCTTGTGCACAACCAGGTAACAGCGGGAGGAGGCTCAGGTTCCGACTGAAGATGGCTACATCCCTCCAGCACCAACAGCCATGGCTAGGTCCCATTTCCTGAACTCCAAGCCCTAGACCCACTTACAGGAAGTGTGTAAGAAGGACTGTCGGGACAGCTGCTGAATGGACGGGATAACTTATGGACCTAGGGCTTGGCAACAACAGACAATTCTTATGCTTTAACACTTTCTGGACTCGGAAGAGAGCTGGGGGACGGGGGCTTAATATTGAGGTTTGCTGCGTCAATCCTACTCCACAGCTCTCATAGGAACACCCACTTGGCCCTCATGAGGCCAGCAGAACCCCTCAACCCTCAAGATAAGCAGGGCTGCTCAGAAGGACACTGGGAGACGGGAAGGGGGCTGACCCTGGCCTCGCCCTCTCCTATGGCCAGAGAATGGAGATGGGACACCTGAAGCCCCCCTACTCCACCTGTCTTCAAGTTCCTCTTCTGAGAATGGTGGCAGAACACCCATGGGACACTCTGCGCTGACCAATGAGTGGCTTCTTCTCTCCTTCCCACCAGCAGCCATGCAGAGACAAACATCATCCCACACACCCCCTGACAAGGGCGTGAGGAAAAGCTGCAAGGAAGATGGTGGCAAAGAACCTAGCATCCGCCCTACCCAGGAAGGCTTACCTGCAGAGAGGAAAGGAGAGGGGTCAGTCCCAGGCTGGGGCAGTGCAACCTGTCCAAAGCCTACCAACCTTCTGCCTTTGGCCTCACCCGCACAGCAGGGCAGACAGCAGGCTGCAGCGGGCAGTGTCCACTCCACGTGCCCCTCCTTCCCCGCTCCCACATATATATCTCTCTATACACGTATATACAGGTGCACACATGCACGCACACACAGAGGCCCGTGCGATTCCCATGTACAGCAGGGAGAGGGTGATGAGGGAAAGGAAGACAGGGAGTCGGGGAGGGGCTCTTGGGGACAGGAGAGACTCAGATGCCAAGGGCACAGCAACCAGTGCCAAACGAAGAAAACGGAAAGAATGCTCCACCCTACCTCCCCGAGCCCAGAGGGGAGAGAGACAGGGGGCCACCCCATGAAACCATAACAACCTTGTTTTGTTTTAAATCCAGTAAATTGGAATGCTTCATCATCAGGACAGCAATTGGGGACTGGTCATGTCAGTGGACAGGGCAATGGAGGCGAGGAGAGGGGGCAGGGCAGGCAAGGCTTTCCCTGGGCATGCGGACATGATGCCCAGGGCCCTGGCCACATTTGCAATGGGAAGGAAGGAGCAAGGCCGGGGCAGGGAGGCAGCAGGTGTGTTGGGGGTCGACAGGGTAGTTGGGACAGGGCTGCTGGCTCTCACTTCTTGTTTTTGAGCTGATTGGCCAGCCAGTCCAGGCCTTCGTACAGCCCATCTCCACTGGTGGCACAGGTGGCCTGAATGTACCAGTTGCGGTGACGCAGGGAATGCAGGCCCAGCTTGTCCGTGATCTCAGCAGCATTCATAGCATTAGGCAGATCCTGCGGCACAAGGGAAACACACCAAAGGGAACCTCAGCATCCTCCTGAGACTTCAGGGCAGCCATCCACCAGAGAGAGGTGAGCTGGCACCTTCTCCTGCATTAGCAGAAACCTGCAAGAGCAATTCTGGACCTAACCATCCTTGGAACCCCAGACCAGATCCAAGGCACTGAATAATCACTCTACTGATGAGCTGGAAACCAAACAAGGGGTTGGTGTAAAGTGATTCGCAGCCAAAGAATCCAATCTGACAGCAGGAGCAAGGGCGGGGGGGGGGGGGGACACTGGGGAGAGACTTGAGGTTATGTGGAGATAACCACTCCAGTCTCTGAGAAGAAAAGCACTGCTAACTGAGGCTGGGTAGCGAGTCAGAACAGCAGCGCCAGGAAACATTTCCCACACTTCCAAAGCAGAGGGAGGAGCCAAAGGGTTTCTTACATGATATGCCCCTAAGGCCCCACGCTCTCCAAAGCCAGACTGCCTCGCCCCAAATTTGCGGGACAGGAGGGAAGGCTCACCTGTTTGTTTGCAAAGACAAGGAGCACGGCATCCCGCAGTTCATCCTCTGCCAGCATCCTCATCAGTTCTTCCCGGGCCTCGTTTACTCGCTCCCGGTCATTGCTGTCGACCACAAATATCAAGCCTAGGGAAGCAGAGCACGGACCACACAGATACTGAGGTTGTGCCCATCCCTTCTCCACCAAAGAGCTGCTCCTTTTCTACCACCCCGAGGAGCTGAGGCAGGGCAGGTGCTTGTGGCTCAGAACCCAGGTGGCCAGCCACACTCACTGCTCAGACCCACACCACCCAGACCAGTCCCACGCAACTCATTTGCCAGACCTTGGGTGTTCTGGAAGTAGTGTCTCCAGAGAGGCCGAATCTTGTCTTGGCCACCCACATCCCACACTGTGAAGCTGATGTTCTTGTATTCCACGGTTTCCACGTTGAACCCTGCAGGAAAACAAGCGCCACTGTGTGCAAACAGTGCTTCAAAGGCTTTGGTTCTAGGCCCTCGGCTTTGGCTATGACACCAACAGTGGAAGGCTAGGCCTGGTATCCCCCTGAACTGGGAGACCAAAAGCCAAGGAGAAAACAAAGCAAGAAGTATAAGAAGATGAGGAAGTACAGTCAGGAAGTTCAGAGTAACTGAGTAATATGGATGCATCTTCCCCACTTATTGGCTCAGTCGCTGGCTCTCCCTCCTACAAAGGAATGACTCAGCTCCCCTCCTGCATCAGGCCACCAGAGCCTGTCTCAGCTACGTAGGGCCTGAGGGGCAGCGAAGAAAGAGAAGTGAATTATAACCCTGGAGGCCCATATTCAGAAACAGCTGACCAACAGTCTCAGCTAAAGTAACTGTCTCCCTCCCATAGTAGGCAGGTTGTAACTGGGATCAGCTGCCGCAGATCTACCCTGAGGCAGCTCCAAGCCTCTCACACAAACATTAAAGCCCTTCACCTGCTTTCCAAACAAGGGCAAACAATCAACTCCTGTGCCTGAGGGTGCCGCCTGAGCGCCAGGCCAGGCCGGGGAAGTTCCCACAACAGGGAGGGCAAACAGCCGCCCAGCACCTGCCAGTAAATTAAACAATCATCTTGCTCCAAACCCCTACACACTGCATGAACTTGCCAGATGAGGAGTCCAGATACAGCCCCTTGTCCTACCCCAAGGCTGGCCGGGAAGCTCACTTCCCAGCTCCATCCTTACCAATGGTGGGGATGGTGGTGACGATCTCGCCCAGCTTCAGCTTGTACAGGATGGTCGTCTTGCCGGCAGCATCCAGGCCCACCATCAGGATGCGCATCTCCTTCTTTCCAATCAGGCTCTTCAGAAGGTTTCCAAAGATATTGCCCATGATGGCAGCAGCTGCTTTCTGAGGACAGTGGGGCCCGAGTTAGCGGAACAACAGCAGTCTGGTCTTGGTCCCTGGTATGGAGGACTTGATCCTGGGTAAAGGAAATGCAAACCACCACCTGTCTGTTAAGGACTTTTGGTCGATGGAATTTGCCAAAGTCACGCCTGGATACATGCATGACATCTAGAAGTCTCAAGGGACTGTGGGCACATCCTGAGCTTTGGGAGCACAGAACAGCGAACACTTCACCTTTCCCTATCCGCCCCTGGGGACTGAGGGGGCTGAACCACAGGGTTTCTGAAGTGCCTACAGTCCTGACACCCCACACTGCACTCTAAGGCACTCGGAGGCCCTTACTGCCCTCCTCCTCCCCCTGCACAGCTTGCAGAAAGGGTGGGCGAGGAGAAGGCAGGATGAGCAGTGGCTCTGTGATTCCCCACAAGGTTCAAGCTTGCCAGGGTCTCCAGGTTTACACTCTGCTCTCATCAACAGACTGCTTCTCTTCATCCCATAATTCTGCAATGCCACCTTCCTTCCACACCAAAGAGAGGAAGAAATAAGGAAGCAGCATTCGTAAGAGACGCTGATTCTTTACACTCTATGAAATGCCAGCTGCTGAAACTGCACCTGTTCATACCACACTCCAAGGAGAGGTGGGAGGCGACAGAGGGAGAGGCCTTTCTGTCCTCGGCCAGGGAAATGCTAGGCTCCCTATGGCCCACTCAGGACAGCTGCTCCACAGGGTCACCTACAGGGAGGGAGTCATCTGGTCGCCACAGCTTATTTGCCACAGAGCAGCCAGAGAGATCTTAGAACCAAAGCAGGTCATGTGGTTCCTCTGTTCTCAGCCATGACCATGGCTTACAAGGCCTCACATGCATCTTCCGTCACACCTCCTAGTACGGCACTGTGGCTCAACAGACTCATCCTCCACCACCTGCAAGCACTGGCATTCCATGTTGATGCCCGTTCCTGTCCCAGCTGCTCTACTTTCTTTTTTTTTTTTTTTTTTTTATTATTTTTTTATTGGAAAGGCGGATATACAGAGAGGAGAGACAGAAAGGAAGATCTTCCGTCCGATGATTCACTCCCCAAGTGAGCGCAACGGCCGATGCTATGCCAATCCGAAGCCAGGAGCCTCTTGCGGGTCTCCCACGCGGGTGCAGGGTCCCAAAGCTTTGGGCCGTCCTCGACTGCTTTCCCGGGCCACAGGCAGGGAGCTGGAAGGGAAGCGGGGCTGCTGGGATTAGAACCGGCGCCCATATGGGATCCTGGGCGTGCAAGGCGAGGACCTTAACCACTGCGCCACTGCGCCGGGCCCACCAGCTGCTCTACTTTCCATCCAGCTCCCTGCTTGTGGCCTAGGAAAGCAGTGGAGGATGGCCCAAGTCCTTGGGACCCTGCACCTGCGTGGGAGACCCAGAAGAAGCTCCTGGCTCCTAGCTTCGGATCAGCACAGCTCCAGTCGTTCTGTGGTCATTTGGTGAGCGAGTAAGGGGATGAAAGATTTTTCTGTCTCTCCTGTCTAAAATCTGCTTTTCCAATTAAAAAAAAAAAAAAAAGGCTTCTGTTCTTGCTATTCCCTCTGCCTACAGCGGTCCTCCCCTAGAAAACTCAGACTCCACCCTCGCTCCCTTAGGTATCTGTTCCAGTGTTTCAACATCATCTCTCAACAGAGGCATTGGGACCTATGTCAGACACGTGCGCGCACACACACACACTCGACCCCACCACACCTTTTTTCCCCTCAAACCACTTTCTCACCATCTGGCACATCATATATTATTTCTTGTGTTATTTGACTGCTCACTATGTAGCTGGGTCCCCAGTAACCAGATCACCACCTTGCACACAGCAGCTGAGTAACTGAACTAACAGCCAGGTCTACACAGGCCTCCCTGACACACTGAATGCCTGGATTGGAGCAGGCATGCTGAAAGGAAGAAGGGGAACAGGAAGAACCACTGTGGTGGACAGCATGGCTGTGTACAAAGCCCAAGCATTACCTCCAAAGAGAGTCACACACTCATTCACTCTTGCTTCTTCCCTCCCTTTTTCATGGCCCAAGACAGCCACCTGAAATGCATCTTTGAAGCAACAATGCAATGGGGCTTCAGAATCCTCTGTGCCTGCAGGAGGCCCGTGTCAGCTGCTGGCACTCTCCAGAGTCTGGGAATGAGACACAGACCCCCCCGAAACCCAGTGCAGAAGAGCAGGTCACAACAGCGTGCACCCAAACCCAAGACTGTCACAGAGGGATGGGCAGGAATCTGCTTGGCACAAGCCGAAGCATGGGGGATGGGTGGAGGTTATTTCTTCACAAACTTCTTCAGGCTTTTATTCTGGTTTGTTCCCCACCCCTTACTCAGTTTGTAGCAAATTCCAGACCAGTGCAAAGAAACCAGATCAACAGCCTCTAGAGACCAAAGTACTAGTTCCTCCAACAAACAGAAACAAGGAGTGCTTACGGAGTGTTTCATCTTCAAAGGCTCCCAGACATCTGATGAGTCAGGCGTGGCGCTCCCAGCAGGTTCCCCAGAGGAGCCCTGGCCCTGACCCACAGGGCTCATACCCCAGGGAGAGGGCCTGGCTCAACCTCAGTCAAGTCGCCCACCATCCATCCTCGCTGCCCTTCCTGCCACTACCCACCCCGGCAGGCAGATGCCCAAGGATTCCAGAGGCTTTAGCGGACACCTGTGCAGCTAATAAGGCCAGAGCTCAAGAGCCTCAGCAATCTGCTATACATTTCTGATTCTGCTACCATCACCCAGAAACATCAATCTCCCCCAGGTCGTCCTTGTCATCCTGCCTCCCACTCAGGCGGCCTGTCTTCAGCTCTAGGTGATATTTTTTACAAGCCATAATGCTGAAGTCTTCATTCAAAAGCTGATCCCTGGGGCCAGCACTGTGGCACAGCCAGCTAGATCTCCACCTCCAATGCCTACATCCCATGTGGGTGCTGGTTTGAGTCCTGGCTGTGCCACTTCTGATCCAGCTCCCTGCGAACGTGCCTGAGAAAACAGCAGAAACATTTCCCAAGCAAATGCTTGGGCCCCTACACCCACATGGGAGACCCCAAGAAAGCTCCAGGCTTCCGGCCTTGGCTTGGCCCAGCCCTGGCACTGCAGTCATTTGAGGAGTGAACCAGCAGCTGGGGCATTCTCTCTGTCTCTCCTCCTCTCTCTGAAACTCAGCCTTCCAAATAATTGCAAAAAATAAAAAATAAAAAGCTGACCCCTGGGGCAGCACAGTGACAGTAGTTGAAGCTACCACATTAGAATGCTGGTTCAAATCCTGGCTGCTCCACTTCCCATTCAGCTAACTGCTAATGGCCCAAGTACTTGAGTTCCTCCCACCAATGGGGATCCCAGGAGTTCCTGGTGCGTGGGCTTTGGCCTTGCCCAGCCCTTGCTGTAGTGACCATTTGAGGAGTGAACAACCAAATGAAAATCTCTAAGATCTCTCTCTCCTTCCCTACCTCCCTCCTGCCTTTTGAATTTATATATATATATATATATTTTTTTTTTTTAAGACAATGGCTCAACTGGCTAATCATCTGTCTGCAAGCACCAGCATCCCATATGGGTGCCAATTTATGTTCTAAGCTGCTACATTTCCTAGCCAGCTCCCTGCTTGTGGCCTGGTTTAAAGCAATGGAGGATGGTCCAAAGCCTCAGGACCCTACACCTGCGTGGGGGACCCAGAAGAGGCTCGTGGCTCCTGTCCTCAGACCAGCTCAGCTTCAGCCATTTGGGGAGTGAACCGGTGAACCCTCTCTGTCTCTCCTTCTTTCAGTAAATCTGATTTTCGAAAAAAAAAAGAAGGTGACCACAGTGTGACACCTGTTTCTATTTCCCAGCATGTTGCACCAAGGCCCCCAAACACGCTGAAGTCCACAGGTGGTACCCACTACCTTAACGATCCCCCCGATGCACACATTTACAGTCTCCCCAGGATGACTATACACTCCCTACTGACCAGACCCAAGCTCTCCTCCTCCCCAATGCCAAAGAGTTCAATCAGGCATACTGGCTAATTGTGTCTTTTCAGATATTCTTTTAACAGGAAAGGCAGATCAAATTGATGGAGAGACAGAGAGACAGATTTCCCATCCACAACACCTGAAGCTGAGCCAATCCAAAGCCAAGAGCCAGAAGCTTCTTCTGGGTCTCCCATGCGTGTTCAGGGTCCCAAAGCTTTGGGCCGTCCTCGACTGCTTTCCCAGGCCACAAGCAGGGAGCTGGATGGGAAGTGGGACACCTAGGACATGAACCAGCACCCACATGGCTAAAATCCCTGGGATCCCAGCACTTGCAAGATGAAGATTTGGCCACTGAGCCATCGTGTTGCTCCCCCTCACCACCACCATCACTGACTGATCTAAACTTTATGTTAAGGATCTCCTCAACCCATTTCTTTTTCCCAGCAATGCGTGGTATGCTGTGTGACGCGCGGAGGGTCACCTGGGTATCCTGCTGCACACCTCATCACAGGACTGGTGTGGAAACACCACAGCAGCACTAGAAGACTAAAATTAACAGAATTTTCTCTCACCACTTAATATGCAATGGAGAAGGAGCATGAACTCTGGAATCTACTAGTTGTCCTGAAGTTCACGAGCACTCTGACCTCAAGTGACTGGGAGCTTGACTTGGAGGAGCACTGAACGGGGGAGCCTGCTCTCGGGCCCCTCACGACAGCAGCGTGCTGGCCCCCAACTCCAAGCCAAGAGCAGCTTTCAGCTTTATGAACACAAGACCTGGCTGGCTACACGGCCACCATTCACGCTCACCAATAACGTGTTCACATGAAGAGCTATGGGAAGCAGGTTGGCTAGCCACGCTGGACTTGGGGATTTTTGCCCGGCATGTGCCATACGGCCTAGGTTGAGCTCCTTCCACAGATGGTGCTCCTGTGGTGGAAGGCAGATCGCCAGGGTTCCACAGAGTGCTTGGGACCAGGAACAGCAGCTACACTGAAGGGGACTTGCTCCAGATAAGAAGCCAAATACAGTAAAAGCCCTTTTCACAAGAAGGTTGCTATCACAACTCTCCATTTTATGGTCAGAAACGTGTTATCAAGGCTTAGAACAACATGAACTTCAAAACTGTGGATCTCACACATTCTGGGAGGGACCCTGCAGGAGCCCGATCAAGCTCATCACTCCCCCACTTCAGCAGGAACAGGCTGCTGCGGCTGCTCTTCCCCACGACCTCGGGCGTCAC